ATGTTGCCGTACTTCTTGGGACAGCAGGAGGTGATTTCGGCTTCACAGCCTCCTGTTTAATTGGTACAGGAGACTTAGGCGGTTCCTGCTTTGGAGTCATTTCCGCTGATGGAGCAGGGGGCTCCTGTGAAGCAGTGTCTCCGGAAACCAAGGACTTACGCGGCGGTCTTCCACGACGTTTCTTCGTTTCATGATTGATTGGCGATGGTGACGAGCTGGGAGGAGGGCTTGCTTTGCCAGGTTCCGTTTTTGTCTGCTGATTTCGCCTAGCAGAAACCCTTGCCGTAGCTTTGCGAACAGCTGATCGAGCAGCCGTCTGAGCAGCAGATCTCTTTGTAGTGGGGGCACAAGTAGAGCGCAAGATATGAGAAGGAGAAAGTGAGGTAGTAACTGAGTTTGGAGCAATGATACGGCGCCCAGAGAGAGTTTTTCTAGGAGGAGAGGAAGACTTAAGTTGCGGTGCCTGCTAAACGACTAGAATGGCGAGAGGGCAGAGTACGTGTACCGGTTGCTCCAGCCGAAGCTGAGACACGGCCTCTACGTCGTGACCGTACCTCATCTAGTAGCATTCCGTTTCCATAAAAGTCATCATCTAATCGAACGGAATTCTCATCGATACCATCGTTCGCATCGCCGTTGCTCAGGGCTTTATTGTGAGCTCGTACCCAGTCTTCCCTCTTCTGCTCGATTACCGCCTGAAAATAAGAAGAAGAGTTGAACGTTGGCAATTCAATCGTATTTCGCCGCTGTTCGGCTTACGCGGGCATTTTGCACTTCTACTGGTTCCTTTAGTTAGTTCCGGTTGAATTACACGTCTTATCTCGGTAAAACCTGCAGAATTTTAATTAATAGGGCTGCCAAAATGTAGATAAAGCTCTAGTTTTACAGGAATCTACGGGTCTCCACAAGATCTGTGGCAGTTATTGATAGGAACCAGAAGAATGCCTCCAGCAAGCCGAACTGCGCCGCTATTACTACCAATTATACTTCGATTTTGTTCACATTTTTGAAACTTGCAGTTCTATTGCAATCCAAGAATAGAACTATAATTTCAGATGTGTAAGAAGCATTACCATTCAAGCATTCAAGCAGTATCGCTTACGCCAAGCACACAATGAACAGAACTTCTCCCTCCCTCGTGTAGAGCAGTCGATAAACATATTGTAAATAGAAAAGCAGGGACGTAGATTGATCGAAAGCCACTAGTGTTTCATAGGAGTGGGCATTACCCTAGGATACCTCGTCGAAGCAGTCGTATTTAAGGAGTCGTTGGCGCAAAGTTAATCACCACCGAACAACGTGTAGTCTCACCTCTGCCTCTCGGACTTCCTCTTCAAATTCAGGTTTATACTCAGCCTCGGGAAGTTCATCCGCTATATAACGCCAATCGGCTTCAACTGAAAAGTACAGCATTTGACCCAAACCTCTTGAATTAACCTCGTATTAACAAACCTGACTGATCAACTCAATGTATTTCTCATCAAGAGGGTCTTCACTGTCTAAACAACTGAAGAAACCGCCCAGTGAACTCTCAGTTGCACCAACATGTCGTGTCTCATCAAACTCAGCAATATCTGCTTTCGTTTCGGCAAGGACCATTTTCGCTGCATTCACATCTTGTTCGTCTTCCAGTGCAGCCATAGCCTGGAAATGTAGTGTTAAGAAGATCAGGGGTGATTTATTGAAGAACTGAAAATGAAGAGGATATACCTTCTCAACATCTCTCTGGCTCTTAGGACGCTCTCCAATGTCAATATCGCCTACCTCTACATCACCATCGAATAAATCGCTGAAAATAAGCGAATCGCCTAACAATTCCTGTCGTATTTCTCTTTCAAAAGCTCCCTTATAGATTTTCAGACTTGCGGAGCTAGAAGACGACGTGACTGTCTGCAAAACTTCTAATCCCTTTTTAGATACTGTGAGGCAGTGATCAGACCTCGCTACGGTGCTCTCGCTATCACGCAGTCTGATACCCTCCTATTCTTCAAACTCTTTCAAAACACTAGCGGCTGGCGCCGATCGATAATCGCTTATGAATGCGTTCCCTGTGTATAGCACTGGAGGCACGGTTCTAATAGTAGCGTGTCCACCCGTGTCATCGCGAAGTCTGAACGTTACCTCACAGTAGGTGGGAGAAATAGCGCTTTGGTGACGCCTTCCCTTGACCCTGTCCATCGGACAAGCCCAAACGATGTTTTTTTTTACATAAAATCAGAAATGTAAGTCCAGTGGGACTACTAATACGTAATGAGTGTGAGGTTGACCAAAACTCACCGTATGTTATCCGACTGCTTGAAGAACTCGGGAGTGAATCCAGCATCGTCAATCGCCATTTCACCTAACCGACGCTTTTGATTCGCCTTCCGAAGGATGTTCTCCTCAATCGTTCTTTCCGAGATCAAGCGGAAAATTGTCACATTACGAGTTTGACCAATCTGAAAAACAACTCTTCAGGAAAACCGAAAGGGAAGATAAAAATAAAAAGATAGAGAAAAAAAGGAGGAAACCACTTTTTTAACTAGCTAGATAAATGCCTTACCCGATGACATCTGTCCTGCGCCTGAGCATCCATCGTAGGATTCCAGTCGGAATCATAGAAAATCACTGTGTCTGCACCAGTCAAATTCACTCCAACTCCACCAGAACGAGTAGACAGAATAAAGCAAAATATCTTCGAATCTGCATTGAATCGCTCCATCATCGCCTAGAAGATAGGAATAGAGCGCTCAAGAAAAATGAAAAAAGCACTAGAACAATTAGAGTAAAAGCACGTTTTCCTACCTGCCTCTGTTCAATACCGGTTGTGCCATCTAGTCTAAAATACTGATACCCGTGATATGAAAGGAAAGCTTGCAAGACGTCCAACATTCGGGACATCTGAGTGAAGATCAGACAGCGATGCTTAAGAGCATAAAGGCGGCGAAGAAGTCGCGCCAATGCCTGCAGTTTACCTGAACAAATGTCAATATGTTCGTGTATCATGACAGAAAGGAAGAAAAAATGAGAAGAAAAGCAAAAAAGAAACGAACCACAGTCAT